CTGTGTGTGTGTGTGTGTGTGTGTGTGTGTGTGTGTGTGTGTGTGTGTGTTTGTATATGTGTGCACGAGCGTGTATGTCCTATTCCTATCTAATCATTCATTCATTCATTCATTTTACGATGAACTCCTCGTCTTGGTGGTAATTCAAGCCAAACTTCAATACAGAAACCTTTCTCCGCTTGTGTATTCTACAGCAAAGAAATGCAGAGAGCCATTCCTGTTCAACGGCCTCATCACCAACAGATGCCCACTCACCTGTGGTGCCACCAAGTACTCTTACACCAAGGACAGCTGCCGCGGACAACCATTCGCAGGTTGCGAGTGCCCAGCAGGCATGGCCAGAATCAACAACACATGTGTCGAGCCCGATGACTGCCAGTGTAAAGCTGACAACGGCAAATACTACAACCGCGGAGAACAGATCCAGTCTGGAGATGGATGCCGTGTTTGGTACGAGCCCTGCTATTTCTATTCAAACGTTGCTAATAACTTACTTACTTCACTTATACTTTTGTTATCCTATGTTGCCTTTAAGCGTCGAGAGTGGAGATGCAGTTTTTTTTAATGGTAGGCCAGCCCCGCAGCTCTTTCAGCAGTGATATTATGTTTTCTCGGGGTTTCCTTGACACCATCGATCCACCTTTCGCGTGCCCTTCCTCTTCCTATTTAGCCTGAGTGCTTGGTGTTTTAGGCTCTCGAGGCTGGCTGGTCAGGTGACATACGTAACAGGTGGCCGAACCATTTTATTCTCTGTCTTTCTATTGCAAGTAACAACAGTCTCTAATTGTTAGTCAGAATCCCGACTTTTGAAATGTGATATTTCTGACAATTTACTGGTTCGTCATTGCCCCCCCCCCCCTTTTCGATACAAAGGTGAAAACCTCTTTGCTCATTGTGATTCGAAGTAATGGTCACGGCTTCTTTTCCTATTTTCTTCCTTTTCCATCTGATAGGTTCGAAACTGTCAAGTAATGAATTATTTAAACCAGTAAGAGGCCCAGAGCAACCAACTTATGGAACCTAAGCAAATGGGTAACGGGGAAAGATCAGGGAAACGTGGCTTTTTTAAGAGCATCCGAGCAAAGGAATGAATGGAGAACCATGATCGACGGTGTCTTGTCGCAGATCTGGCACAGACTTCTTGTTTAGTGATAGGCTTGCTAGTAATGTTTTTAAACAAAATCTGTTCCCAGCTCTTGCGAGTCCTTTGGTGTGTGGAACTGTGAAGACAGCATGGACAGGTGCTCCTCATCTTGTTCCATCCTCGCCGGCCAGTTTGTGAAGACATTTGACGGAAGAATGTACTCCATGGACAGCGGCAGCTGCAGCTCATTCACTCTGGTTGAAGTAAGTATTTGGGAAACAAACAAACGTCCTATTATTATTCTTTACTTTACTTTTATCCGCCGCTTATACCCTTTTGGGTGTCGCGGGAAGAAAGAGACGTCTCTCTGTCGCCAGCCGGAGAGCTTGGGTCAGGGGGATGCCGTGGGTGGTTAATATTTCCCTGGCTCCGTCTATCCAGGTCTTTCTCGGTCGCCCTCTAGCCTTGTTGCTAATGATTTTTTGTTGTAGGCACGTTGTGCTGGATGGTGTTGGTAATAGATAATAATAACAGATAGCATTTTGTAAAGCGCAAATCCACGCTCAACAGCAAGCTCTATGCACTTCACAATCTATACTATTACCCCAGCAGACCTGAGAGCATTCTGAAACAAACTCAACTTCCAGGGAAGCATACAGTGCAAGCAGCCATTCATAGGCGCTAAAACACTAACATACTGACAAGATCTTTTACTGTCTATGGCTGAGTTCCCATTTCCACCTAAGTGAAGTGAGAAAAATTCGTGTTAAGTGCCTTTTCCAAGGATACAACCTCTTTATTTTGCCAAGCATCTGATTTCACCACGATGCCTCACACATATTATTTCGTATTTCCAATGTCCACAGTCCAGCGATGATAACTTGGACTTGAGTATCAAATCCTCCTCACTGACGTGCACAGACACCCTGACCGGGGAGCGAGCCTGCTCAATGGTGATCACCGTCAATTACAACGGCGAAGAGTCCTCTCTCGACTTGTCTGAGGGTAGTCCAATCATTGAAGGTGGTTTTGGACCATCCATGTACATCAGGTGGGTCATTCACACGAAACGAACACAGTATGATTATTATGTAGGCCTACAGTTGAAGTTATACAACCTGACCCCACACTGCGCTCATATGACCTTATGCAGTCGCGAGAGCCGTAAAACCTCTACTAAAAACAGAGTTGTGGTTCATAAGACGCATGCTGCGTATCCCATGGATAGCTAGAAAAACAAATGAAGAAGTCTTGGTTGAAGCAAATTGCAGACGACAGCTTATGATGAATATACGAAAGCGACAGGCAAATTTCATTGGGCACACAGTGCGAAAGAAGCATTCGGGAATATTGTAACACCAGGCAAGTTTCATGGAAAGAGAGGTAGAGGCAGACAGAGGGAAAAGATACTGGACAAGTTGACAACATGACTGGGAACAGCAAAAACAACAGACACCATCGATGTGTGCGTATGTGCGTGTATGCGTGTTTATCTGTGCGTGCGTACATGCGGGCGTGCGTGCGTGCGTGCGTGCGTGCGTGTGTGTATATGTTTGCTTTCGTTTGTGATTTAAATGTTGAACTGTGTGAGCAAGCTCTTATTCTCCACAACATTACCTTTCTCTTTCAACAGGAAAGTGTCAACCAGATACTTCATCATCGACATCAACGGTGGCGATGTAAGAGTAATTGTTTCTACTGACGGAATTCTGCACTTGAAACTCAAAACAGATGCTTATAGAGGAAAGGTAGGCCTACGTTTGTGTTTTGTAGTCTTTTTTTCTGCAATTTATTTGATGTTATGAAATAAAAACGCACTTTAGGTAAAGTAAATTGTTTGGGTTTTTTCCCACAACAACAACAAAAACAACAAACCAACAAAAACCAAAAACCCAGCAACCAACAACCAAAATATGTTTATTAGTACTTTAAAGCAAATGAAGCCATTCCGAGAAATGAACAAGAAAAGGATTCTGCTTCTTCGTCAGGGGTTTCGGGGCTTTGAACTCCAACAACGGACCTCGAAACCTGGCGGCTGGGATCACGCCATGACTCATGACACGATACAGTAATCTTGCTTTGCTTTCTTCCACTTTCAGCTCCTCGGTCTCTGCGGTAACATGGACAACAACAAAGACAACGACTTCATGGGCCGTAACCAGGCCACTATGTTGCCGGGAGAGTTCATGGAATTCTACGCTTGTCGCAACGCCGCGCTGAACGAGCTCACAACCACCAATGTCGTAAGTGGGGAAGGGAGCTCAGCTTTATATTATTTTATAGCTTTTATCAGCTTTATATATACCTGATATTAGTGATATCCACACTACTAACAATGTGAACATTCTTTTTACTGTTATTATTATTAGCAGTAGGCAAAGTATTTGAATACTAAATAGGCCTACTATTATTTATTACTATTATTATTATTATTATTGTTAATATTATTATTATTATTATTATTATTATTATTATTATTATTATTATTATTAATATTATTATTATTATTATTATTATTATGACTACCACGAATCTTCTAGTTATGAGGGTGAGGTTGATGACACTGATGGAGGTCATTATTTTCTATAACTGGTTCTAATTTAAAGAGGGGGGGGGGTTGGAAGAAAGGACCCATTCAAAGGGCAATAACCCGATCATCTTTGCACCAGTTTCAACAGGACTTTGTTGGACAAATGATTTGGCTCATCAAAGGCGACTTCAAATTTATCAGTCCGGAGAAAAATCCTCTTTGGGAAATGTGATACGTTTGAAAAATTTCAATCCAGATTGAGTAAAGTGCAAATTTCTTAAAAAAATCAGTTCCCCGTGCAAATACATTGTGTATAAAAATAGGAAAATTTGCATCACTCTCAGGTTGGTTTTTTTAAAATTATAGTTTTGAGTTAAGCAACAGTTTTCAGGAATTCAGTTGTGCGAGTTGTGCTCCAATTATCGCTTTCTGTGGATACAGGCCGATGTTTGCAACGAGCTGAACACAGCAGATCTGCCAGCATACTCCGGCATTGACATCGATGACTTTGTGAAGATGTGCAACAGCGCTCCCGACGACGCCACACGATGCAGTGTTCTGCAGTCATTTGCCCTGTCTACATACAACTCTCTCAGCAACATCATCACCTCAATTGCATGCCGTGAGTATACCCTAGAAAAATGCTCTATGATAGATTGTAAATTGTACAGGGATGAATTCTAAGTGAAGGAAAACAATAAGGAATTGTTGGTTCCATTAAAAGATTGTACAGCGCTGAAATCTCAGTGAAGGAAAAGAAGCAGTGGTTGGTTCCATTAAAAGATTGTACAGCGCTGAAATCTCAGTGAAGGAAAAGAAGCAGTGGTTGGTTCCATTAAAAGATTGTACAGCGCTGAAATCTCAGTGAAGGAAAAGAAGCAGTGGTTGGTTCCATTAAAAGATTGTACAGCGCTGAAATCTCAGTGAAGGAAAAGAAGCAATGGTTGGTTCCATATTATTATAGATTGTACAGAGATGATTTCTCAGTGAAGGAAAAGAAGTAATGGTTGGTTCCATAAAGATTGTACAGAGATGATTTCTCAGTGAAGGAAAACAAGCAATTGGTTGGTTCCATAAAGATTGTACAGAGATGATTTCTCAGTGAAGGAAAAGAAGCAATTGGTTGGTTCCATAAAGATTGTACAGAGATGATTTTTCAGTGAAGGAAAAGAAGCAATGGTTGGTTCCATAAAGATTGTACAGAGATGATTTCTCAGTGAAGGAAAACAAGCAATTGTTGATGTGGAGACGAATCTGCAACCACACTTACCATGCAAGAGCAAATTAACAATTATACGTATTATGTATTGCTTGATTTTTGTTTTTCAGCATTTAGAATTTGAATTTCAACTAAATATTTCTTGAACAGCAAATGCAACAGATCCTCAGATTTAAAAGAAAACTACCAACCCACCCCCACCTTTTAAAAAATCAAGGTTTTCCGCTTAATACATGTTAACTGCTTACGAAAGGTATGTACAGGCCTTATATTTTCAATGTCTAGAGTAAATATTGCAACAATCTAAAATGTGACATAAATATGTATATATATATAATATAATATATATTTCTTTATTTTTTCAGCTGCCCCTGCTTGTGAGATGAAAAAGATTGACGTCTGTAACGCCAACTGCAAGGATCATCTGTACACCAACTGTGAGTCCGAGATCGTCTTTGACTGCGGCTGCAAGGAAGGCGAGTACGTGGATGAGTTCGGACATTGCGTCCCCAAGGCCGAGTGCGGCTGTTATGACTTCTCCGATCCAACCAACTACGTCCGTCCTAATGAAGAAACTGGTGTCGGCTGCAAGAAATGGTGAGTCAGAATTTGTTTTAGGCTTTCAAAGTGTAGTGAGAAAGAGAATCTTGTGTTCTCGTGGGTGGTTGGAGGGTGCTCTAGTGTGGTTTTTTTCTTCTTTCCTATCAGACAACTATCGTATTTATCTCTCCTCCTTCTTTTTTATTTTTGTTATTTTTTGCAACACCTGTAACCTTCGGCACTAATATGACCTTATTGTATTGCAAGTGCCATAAAACTCGTACTAAAACTAAGAATGTGTTCTCTAACTTTGATAACATAATTTAGTGCTGATTGTTTGTATGTCATACAGATATTGGATTTTGTCACCATGAAACATACGACAAAAAAAGATTGAGGAACAACTTTATGGTGAAGTTAGATATAATAAACAGTTTTGTGTGTGTCTTGGTTCAATCAGAGACAAATGGAATATAGCACAAGCCTCAGCTGAGAGTGTTCTGTATTACTAATTGTTTTTCCTCCCAATATTTCAGTCTTTGCACTGGATTTGAACTTCAGTGCAGCGACACTTGCGAGTCTGTGATTTGCGCCGCACCACAGGTGTCCCAGGTGGAGGTGGTGGAGTCAATCAAGGAAGGAGATAACGCAGAATGTTCCAGACTGATGTGTCCTAAGCCATACTACCGTAACTTTGAATGCATCAACGTCCAGACCAGCACACAGCTCTGTTTCTGTCCAGAGGGATACAAACAAACCCAGGTGATTTCATCATGTTAACTTTAAGCATCATTTGGACATTTTATTTCAACAAACTGCCACAATAGCGTGCTTAACGATCTTTATTTCCATGAAACGAGATACCAGAAAAGTATTTCCAGAACTCGATCCTTAAAAAAAAACCCTGCTTTATCTGTTTGTAAGTGAAGTGTTGTCAAAATAATATAATTGTAAATGTAACTCATTCCTGCGAGGTTTAGATAAATTTTCATGTATTTTGCTTATTTGGATGCAGCTTCTCATCAGTTTTGGCTAATTCATTTCCTTTTTCTCGCATCTAGTTTGGATCTTGTGTAAAAGCATGTCCTTGCTACGAAGCTGGCCAGTGGTACAACCATGGAGATTCCGTCACTTCAAACTGTGTAGTCAAGTAAGTTTGCCTCATTAAGACATCAACAGTTCTGATTTCTTTCTTGAAATAGCTCCAAACTGCCAAAGAATGTAAAGATAGGTGATCACTCAAGAGTTTTTAATTAATTAATTGTCACATCAAAAAGGGTTCATAAAGGTGCAAAAAAGGGTATTTGCATTGTTCAGATAAACTTGAGACAGAATAAAAAACTAGAAACAATATGGATCCTTCTTGTTCCTGAAATGGATAAAACTAAAAAAAGTCTATTTTTTTTCAAAGTAAAGTGAGCAATTTGTATGAGAAAAGAAGCTAAAGGACTTAACTTGGATTAATATGGCTGGACAGCAATGGACAGGAGGACGGAGAGACAGAGAAGCTGGTATACAGAAGAACAAACAGTAGAAATATCGTTTTGAGTGTCGAGCCTACACACGATTTTAATTGTCTTCTTTTTTAAATTCGAATCCAGGACTTGCAAAGACGGTCTGTTTGAATTTGGAGAGGCACCAACTTGCACAGGTATGTACTTGCATTAGTTCAATGAGAAAACGTTTTATTGCATTTTTTTCTGAGTTCGATTTTAATTTGTTACCGTAATGTAAGTATTGCTTTCTCAAAATCTTTAACTTGAAATTTAACTTCTGATGAAGAGCTCAATTCCTATTTATTGATACAACTTTTCCATCTGCTTTGAGCATGTTTTAACCTGAAAACCTTCCTCCATCCAATAGGTGTGTGCTTGCTGACTGGCTCCTCACTGAAACTGAAGCCTTTCGATACAACATCCTTGAATGACTTCTCCATCAGTGGAACTTGTTCCTACACTGCTTTGAGCATTGATGATGAAGGCATCAAAGTCACGTTCAAAGCTGTCTCATGTGGATCTGGAGGTAAGTCATCGTGTATTGTGTTGTCTGGTGTACACCTATATATTTCGGAAAAGGCAAGAACAGACAGATATAAAAATTCATTCGTACCAACTGCAGTGAGGTTACTGAACGCACAGTGCTACAGGTGAAACACACTCACATAGAGAGAGAGAGAGAGAGAGAGAGAGAGAGAGAGAGAGAGAGAGAGAGAGAGTGTGTGTGTTTACGGAGCGGGGTCGTTCCAGCACGTGAAATATGTGTTCACTAATGCCCTGTCTTGTTGTGCGTATGCGTGAGTGCATCTAACCTGTGTGACATTCCACAGCTATTGTAAACGAGCAGGACAAACTTCTCCCGCCGAGATGAATAAAGATTGTCATTGTCATGTTGTGTTTAAAACGTAGATCTAGTACATGATGTGACCATTTTACTACACTTGAAAACAGTTATGCTTCGAGAGCTTTAAAAAAATTTAAACGTGATTTATACACGGGAAGATTATGTCATAATTTGATTTGTGGTTTTATCTTGTTCTTCCAACAGCAAACCAGATCTGTATGTACCTCGTAAAGATCTACACCCAATTCTTGCAAGAGCCCATTGAACTGAAGAGCACAAACCCATCAGCAGTTATGATTGGACAGAATCAATACTCTGGTGACATCGGCCCAAGGATTCAGATCATCGACACCAACTACTACCTGAAGGTTGTCATTGACGGAAAAGTTAGCATTGACTGGAACAGAGGTACAATTCTTTTCATTTGTAGAAAGGTGTATCAATTTATAAAACAGAATTTGTATATATATATTTTTTAATGTAGAGGTTTTAGGAACTCATTGACACTATTTAAAGAAACTATTGTTGGTTTATGCATTTATGTAAAGCGCCTGGAGCTGTGTTTACACGGGTGTGGGCGCTATAGACATGATCTTCATTATTATTATAATATTAACTGAATACAAAAACGCTACAGTAGCGTTTTTGTATTCAGTTAATAATAATAGTAATGAAGATCATGTCAACTGCCCTGGGGTGTATTTATGTGTGTAAGAAAGAAACGAGAGACATCTCAATTGAAAAAAAAGTCGAACCTGACAATGTACTTCTCATATAGGAATGATGATTTCTTTTTAATTGTTTATGATATGTAGCATTGCGTATTACACGGAATATATCAGAATTCATAACCTTTTCTGCAAAGTTTACGGGAAATGATATTTGAAGTTTTGTTTTTGTCAGAAGATGGTCTAGAAATTAGCTTCCTCGTCAAACATCAAAGCAGACTAGGATTTTCACAACATAGAGTTTTGACGTTTTATTTTTAGTTTTTCTTGGAAAGTATATATATGAGTTAAAAAGAATTTTATTTTTAACATTTAACTTTGTAATACAATTTTCGGTTTTGCGTTCTCGGTAATATGCTATATTAAGAGGGAACTAACGATTGTTTCTAGAAGGACAAGGCTAGAGGAATAACCGTGAAGCATCTGTCACTGAAAAAGCACACATTTTGGGTGCCATAGGAAGAAGTTTTTACTGTGTTCCTTGTCTCTAAAATAACCTCTCTCTATCTTTACTCCAAAAAGGTCTCACTGTGAGGATCGAAGTGTTTACTGTGTTCCTTGTCTCTAAAATAACATCTCTCTATCTTTTCTCCAAAAAGGTCTCACTGTGAGGATCGAAGTGTTTACTGTGTTCCTTGTCTCTAAAACAACATCTCTCTATCTTTACTCCAAAAGGTCTCACTGTGAGGATCGAAGTGTCCGGCGAACTCATCAACCGTACCGCCGGTATGTGTGGTAAATTCAACGGCAACAACCAGGATGACAGAATTGGTCGCGATGGATTGGGAAAAGACTCCCTTATCAAGTTGGCTCAGAGTTGGAATGAAGATGACTCCGAGTGCAAAGTCAACGATGAAAACACTGTTATGTCCAAATGCCAAGAGGTGAGGCCTAAACTTGAAAAGTACTATCTTGGTTATGGGTTTTTAATACCAAACTCAACGTATGAAAAGGACACACTGCTCTTATCTCTTATACTGCTCAAATTGATCAATTGAATCTTGAATGTTGGGAGGGAGGGAGAGGGGTGCAGGGTGTTTTATTGTTCTTTCAAAATGTGTAGGCTATGTCATTGGATAATTCTAGAAATGTATCCCTTCAACAAAATTAGAAGGGCTCATACATGTGTAAAAATTTCCATGGAATATCATTGTCATGTTGTACGTTCTTCTTTCAGACTGATTTTTTAAAAACTTCTGTCAGAGTGCTATAAAAACTCTTTTTGACGGAAAGCTCAGTAAAGTAATTGAATGTAGCAACGTTTTCAGATGAACGTTTTTGACGTGTTCACGGCGCTGTGTTGTCAAACAATGCTGATTTCGGAATCTACGACTTCACTTACTAAAGCAGAATTCCCAGGTTGTGGTTTGAAATATACACCATCTGGTGACGTATCATTTGAAAGTGGCGCGTCTATTTGCGCTGTTATCCCAAAGTCCTTTCAAAAGCTGCTTGCTCAGTCTAACACACTGAAAACGATGAACTGATAAACATTTTTCTTTCAATTTTCAGGGCTCTGACAGAGCAGCTTGGGCTGAAAACTCCTGTAAAGTCATTATTGAAGGCGAGGCGTTTGCAGCTTGTCGTGTGTTTGGTGAAAACAACCACATTGGCTACTACCAGAACTGCAAAGAACAAGCTTGCAGGTAGGAATGCATAGCAAACTTTCTGATTACTGGATAAGGCTTAATGTTTTTACATGTTATTCCATTCGGAGTTAACAACCGTACCAGATCTGACCTGACGTCTCGTCACCGCGTTCTTTCTCAGTAATAGTTTGTTTAGTTGGAATTAAGTTAAACGGCTGGACATTTGTAATAACTACAACTATATCTACTGGACATTTGTAATCACCACAACTATATCTACTGGACATTTGTAATCACTGCAACTATATCCACTGGACATTTGTAATCACTACAACTATATCTACTGGACATTTTTAATCACTAAGACACTTGTAATCACAAACAACTATATCTACTGGAGATTTTTAATCACTAAGACACTTGTAATAACTACAACTATATCTACTGGACATTTTTAATCACTAAGACACTTGTAATAACTACAACTATATCTACTGGACATTTTTAATCACTAAGACACTTGTAATAACTACAACTATATCTACTGGACATTTTTAATCACTAAGACACTTGTAATAACTACAACTATATCTACTGGACACTTGTAATCACTAAGACACTTCTAATCACTACAACTATATCTACTGGACACTTGTAATCACTAAGACACTTGTAATCACTACAACTACTTCTGCTGGACACTTGCACTCACTTTTCTCTCTGTGCACTCCCTCAGCTGTGACTCTGGCGGTGACTGCGAGTGTCTCTGTGACGCTATTTCTGCCTTCGCAACCTATTGTAACGAGATCAACAAACCAGGACGTTGGAGGCATCAGAGGCTCTGCCGTGAGTATCTGTTCTTACTTTACTCTATCCGTCCCTTTATATGTTCTTACTTTACTTTACTTTACTTTATCCGTCCACATGTACCTCTAGGGCGTCGAGGGGAGAAAGAGCTTCCTGTCTCTAGCAAGTTTAATGGTCTGGCTGGGTGGGATATTGTATGTTCTCAGGGTATCCTTCACACCCGGGATTTAGGTCTTTCTTGGTCTTCCTCTTGCCTTGTACCCTGATATTTTCCTGTAGTAGGCTTTACTGGCAAGCTGGTGAGGTGCCATACGTGTGAGATGTCCAAACCACCTGATTTTTTGCCTTCGGATGTAGTGGAGGACACGTGTTGTTCCCACCATTTCTCTGATCTTGCTGTTTCTGACCATGTCCTGTCTGGTTTTGTTCACGGCTCTTCTTAGACATCTCATCTCGCAGGTGGTTATCTTACGTTCCAGACTTTTGGTCAAGGTCCATGTCTGGCCCTGGTGGGTCAAGGTGGGGATGAAGATAGAGTTAATGAGCTGAGTATCTGTTCAATGACCAATAATGAATTCATAACAGTACTCAGGTTACTCAAAATGTAACAGTGCACTCATTGATGGGATTGTTTTTGTGGCAGATAGAAATTTGAATACTTTGAAAATCTTTAATCAGAGCCTCAGATTGATAATTAAGTATGCAACAAAAATGTATGTGATGTCAAAACAGGACTGAGTTCATTTCATTTGTTAATTCATGAAATAGCCATTCGTTTGTGTGGGTGGTTGGAGGGCGCCACTGCTAGGTCCTACTTCTTTACTTTCACCTCTGTAGTTTCTATCTGTTTGTCTTACTTTTCCCCAGCACTAAATGACCATTAGTGTGTCTATGTGCTTCTCTTTACTCTAACTCAAACTCATTCGTTCGTAATGGTGTGATATGATAAAAACGTATCTCATGTTTTCTTTATTCCACGTTGACAGCAATGCAGTGTGACTACGGCAGTGTGTACTTGCCTTGCGGCAATGGCTGTCCAGAGGCCTGTGGATCCAGCGGCAACTCCAGTGATTTCTGCAGCTCCATGACATGCTCTGAAGGTTGCTTCTGTCCTGAAGGATACGTGAGATCAAGTAAGATAAGGCACATCTGTACTGTCCACATCCTGGCACTTTGGTTTGGTGCTTCACCATGTACACACATACAC